GGGGGGGTGTACTCATAGTCGTCCATGCCGTAGTCGTTAGGCCATTGACCTCGCATCCCTACAAAAGCCGGGACGGAGCACGCCGGACCATGCTCCTAGATGGCTCTGCTGGTATCTTGTGCCCTTTTTGTTGGTGACCTTTGCTCTCCTAAACATGGGTTCGAGGTGGCGTGCAGGAGAGAATAATGGTGAAAGGGGGGCTGGTATCATGACACGTGCTGTTTTGTTGTGTCTTGTGTGCCCTGTGTCCGTCGACCTGTTGTGCCGTTTTGTTTGTTCGTTGACCTTTGCTCTCCAAACCCATGGCTTCGAGGTGCTGCACAGGAGGGGGAAATGGTGACGGGGGGCGGGTAGAATGGGACACTGTTGTCTTGTCTGTATGCACTGTGTTCTCGTTGACCTCTGGCGGAGATCGACCGAACGGCGAGAGGTCTCGCGTGGTATTTCAAGGCGCGGCGCCATTGCGACGCGATAGTCCCTTACGCGCGCGTCTGTCTGATGACAAAAGCAAAACGAAGAAAACGACGATGAAACCGTAAACATCTTCTCTATGTGTGCGTCCGTTGACAAGAGCAAAACGAGAACCACCGACGAAACCGTAAACCGTACCATATACCGTCTACCCAGCAGGGCCCGGTACCATTCCAGAAGATGCAGAAGCCGGCCGGCTGGCAGGAGGAGCAGGCGGTGGAGATCCGTCGGGACTGGATAGCCTTCCTGGCCGACGGCATGGGGATCGACACCCGAGGAGCCACGGGCGCGGACCTGGAGGCTCTCGTGGTCCGCACAATGTTGGAGCAGGCGGTGAGAAGAAGCTGCTTGCTGTGTGTGTTAATATTGTCAACACCGATCGCGCTGACAAGTGTGTGTTTGTGTGTGTGTGTTTGTTGGCATCGACGGCGCGCTAACCGGCTGACCAGTGTGTTGTGTGTTTCTTTTCGATATTGGCATCGGCCGTGCTTCCCGGCTGTGTGTTTGTGTCTTCCTTATTTCTATCGACCGCACTTACCGGCTGACCAACGAAGAGACGTCAGTGTTCGTGCGGCTGAAAACAGAAAGTCTTCGAAAGGCCATGATCCGGGTCCCGTAAAGGGGCGTCATGGGGGAGGCTAAACTGTGTGTGTGTGTATGTCTTAGTTACTAGCGTCGACCACGCTAATCGGCTGACCAAGAAAGACGCCAGTCTCAGTGCGGTTGAAAACACAACCACTTCTAAATGCCATGAACCGGGACCCCGTGAGGGGGCGGCATGAGAGAGGCTAAGCATATTCTCCGGATCAAAGACAGAAACGGTAGCAACAGAAGAAAACTGCGCGCGTCTACCAAGGCTGCTACCTTGCACTCGAGTTCGTTTTGGAGTGCTTTCACCATCATCCTCCTTGCTTTCAGTACCATCATTCTCATCATCATTTTGTCTGCAATTTTTCGGCAGTTCTTCTCTGGCCCTCGTTTGTTGTGGGGAAGGTCATCTGGCTGGAAGGTTTTTCTTTCTTCCACGCCTTCCCGCCTCGATGGCTGTCGTGGTCTCTGTTTTGTCCTCCCGTTCCCTCTCCTCCACCTTCATTGCTGCCAAACGAATTCCCCTCATTGCCATCATGATCGTTTCTATCTGCGCTACTACTGAGATGCCAACCTATTGGCCGTGGTGGGAATTCTGTGTGTGTGTGTGCGTGTGTGTTTCTGTCTTGTGTGTGTAAAAGCTGGGCAACCCAAGACGCCGACTTAAAATGGTTGGAGGCGATTGAATCCACCACACACGATTTTTACGAACTAGGTTAAAAAAAAAATTGCGGCACTGCTGTGTTTTGTGTAAACGATGTTTCCAGAGCTTTGGCAATGACCTCGCATCATCATCTCAGCACCGCAACGCTCGCGTATGTCGTTCTTTGCCTCAACCCCGGCGTTGCCTCCAAGATTCCATCCATCGAACAGGTCGGCCTTCATCTCTGTTCAGTATCCCTCTCCCGATCCAGCCCCCCTCGACAGCTGATCCAAATCTGCCCCACCCTCCTCCATGAAACT